CAGAAATTTGACAAGGCTGCTGAGGACAACCATTAATGATTAGAAGTCGAAATCTCAGAATTCACTGAGATTTCGCACATTGGGTTTATTTGACCTGAAAAACACGAATATCATATTCATTTATTAAATTAACGCCTTTTTCTTGATTAAGGTGAGGACCTTAAACCGTAAACCTACGGTAGTCTCGCAAGGAAGCCCTTAATATCAGTATCGTTTTCGTGATCAGCATGCCAAATAACTCTATATGTCAAGTTTCAGCCAAATCGGTAACATTTCATAACTTTTCCCTTGTACCAATACGCCTACCGTAACCCTCATTCGACGTCAGAATTTGGCAGGAAAGTTGCTGCACTTGTAGCTTACGTGATAATCTACACAATTACAGAATTTGAGTGCGCCATGTTGAAAAGGAAGAAAGTTACTGGGATGGTTGCAGAACTTATTGTTAATTTCCAACCTAACAAAAAAGAGAGATTGCAAACTCCGGCGACCGCCTCAGCGCTTGTTGAAGGACTCACTTGTCATTGCTCCGAAAAGAGGAAGAACTGCACACGCGCCACAGCCTGAATTATTTGTTCACCTTCACTTCACTCAACGAATTTGAGCGCATGTCCAAAAGACAGATGAGACATTTGCGATTCCTTTCAAATCTATCGGCTATCAATCCGGAACAAGGTAACGTAAATGACGAAAAAATTATGAATAAGAGTTGGAGATACATATGATTCATTCCCAGATTCATGCTAGCTGGCTTTGTAGAAGTCGTGCTGTGAAGGAGTGAAGTATGTGGCTGGTGTTAAGGTAGAGTCACCTCCTCATCCTGCTGCGAGGGTGGTAAGATTTTGTAAAGGTCGATGAATTTTGCTGACTGAACCACGTTCAGACTATTCTGTACTGTAAATACAGCGCTCTGTATGATTGTAGAGGATATTTCTAAGCATGAGCCGCCCTATAATTAGTGGATGATAGAACTTGTAAATTTACGAAGCATCCAAACTGTTCCATTTAGTACTTGATAACTCGCAGAATTTCATTTGGACATATTCTATCTGTAGCTTTCAGCGTCTGCTCCATAACTACGTTTTCCTTCGTATATAATAATAGACTGTCTCAAAAGTTCTTGCGTAGTTCAAACAAATTTTAATAACTTTTTAGCCTAAATCTGAAGTCACGAGTCTGTTCTCTAAAAAGATTAGAAGGCTTACGCTCCATGATGGATGTTCAGTCATGAGATTCCATCAGCTAGCCACCGAGAACGAAGCTCTCAAAAATGGGGCTTCAAATTTTCCGATTTTGAGTTTGGTGCCAGAAAAACGCAGAACGCTGCTAGCTAGCCGAGAGGTATCTGTAAAGATTACTTACACAGCAGAAGTCCATACGTTACGTTGGCAGGCTTTGATCTTGTAAGGTAACATAAAAACAAAAAATTCGCGAGAAATGTTATCTTGCAGAAAAAATTCCCTCTTTATTGCACTTTTTCAATGAAAACACTTTTTGACACTCCAGAAAGCGTCGCCATGTCTAAATTAGGCATGTCTAATTTCTGTTTCCAGCCTTGCGTTTTGTGGAAAAACTACAGCGATGAGGGGAATTATCCTGTAAAATGACAAATTTCTAGCTAGCTGAAAAAAATTGTAGAATTTGTTACACAGCAGAAGTCTATACGTTGCTTTGGCAGGCTTTGCTCTCCTATGGTAATGCAAAAACAAAAAAATGTGAAATTTGTCATTTTACAGGATAATTCCCCTCATCGCTGTAGTTTTTCCACAAAGCGCAAGGCTGGAAACAGAAATTAGACATGCCTAATTTAGTCATTGCAACGCTTTTTGGAGTGTCAAAAAGTGCTTTCACTAAAAAAGTGCAATAAAGAGGGAATTTTCTCTGCAAAATACCATTTCTCACGGATTTTTGGTTTTTACGTTACCGTACAAAATCAAAGTCTGCCAACGTAACGTGTGGACTTCTGCTGTGTAAGTAATCTTTACAGATTTCTTTTGGCTAGCTAGCGGTTCTCTGCAATTTTCTGGCACCAAACTCAAAATTGCAAATTTTGAAGCCCCAATTTTAAGAGCTTCTTTCTCTGTGGCAAGCTCATGGAATTTTATGCCTAAACATCCATCATGGAGCGCAAGCCTTCTACTATTTTTGAAGAGTAAAATTTCAAATTTAGGTCTGGGCGTTAAAAAGTTAATGAATTTTGTTTGAATTACGCAAGAACTTTCGGGACAACTAATATTTAGACGCGGACATTGAGCTAAATGAATTTAGAGAAATTATCGTCGCACTGCGTCTATATCTAATCTCCTTGACGTACTCGCCAATTTGATTGCAGTCAAGTTGACTTTCTTTTGGTACCATGAACATATTTTCAAAAAAACAGCAAACAAGCACGGTTACAATAACTTTATGGAGTCGCTTTTGCAGCTTATAGACTTCAACTTTCCTTTGCTGGCCCATTTAACCACAAATTCAAGTAGTCTGACAACAGACTTGACAGCAACACAGCAATATGTTTAGGGGAATAATCCCTTAGTTACGCTTGCTATTACAACCTTTCTTACAAGATGATTGGCTGTTCAACGTTGAAGAGATGCTGTTAGAATTAGTTGTTAATAATTAATTACGAATTTACGAAATTCGAAACTCCTACCGTTAATTGCTGAGGTTAGGATCAAGAAATCACCTCCAATAAATTTACAGGAGTCCCAAAATAATGTGCACACTGTTTGATCGTTAATAACTTTGTTGCTCTGATTCTTTTCCGTCAAACTCTAAATACCATTCCGTAGAGCTGTCTTTAACTTATTTTACAGTATGAAGGATACAGTATGAAGGAGCGCAGAACTTTCTTCATCACTGTAAGATTACGGCAGGAATTTCGACAAGATTTTTGGGCCATTAACGGCTATAATTTTTCTTCGAAGGAGAACCAAACAAGCCAAAAAATTCTATACTAGGTTGATCGAATTTGTTGATTTTGAGTATAAAATTTTCACTTCACTATGATGCTTCTTTCGTAAGTTATCCCAGGTAAACCGTAAAGACTGTAAACGGTAAGGACTATTTTTCCAACATTTGTCATAAATCTAATTACAGCATCAAAAAGCTGAAAACACTAGTAAAAGGATGTGCAGTGAAAACAGCATGCGTAGAAACCCTAGTACACAAATTTGCAGATTTTTGAGGAAAGAGTCTGTCAAACCGCCTATTTTACCATAGGTCTGTATGCGAAAGCTTTTACCGTAATCTTACAGTAAGAAAGATTGTGAACCTAAGTTGAATCCAGCTCTACAGAAGATACTTAAAGTTTAACGAAAAATCCAAAGCAAGAGAGTTATTAACGAAAACAAAGTGCATGTTAAATTGGGACACCCTGTATGTGTTTGACTGCGAAGTGTGCATGGATAGTTTACGTGTCCGGACGTCACTTTTTTGTTTTACATTCTAATTTTTTAAAATTTACTGACTTGTCGTATACCAAGAAGAATTTCTCCTGATTTGTGGACATCTTTGATTTTTGCTTGGTATCACTTCATTACGTGTATGTCACTTACTCTACCTCTATGACAAAGAGTGCACTACTTTCCACAACGCTATGAGAACCGTCATACTTCGCCGAGAAAAGAACAAAAGCGCTCAAAAAAGCCCGAAAAGGCCCAAGAAGCCCAAAAAAGCCCGAAAATGCCCAAGAAGCCCAAAGAAGCCCGAAAAGTCCAAAAGTGCCAGAAAGAGCCAGAACGCAGGAAAGGACTTTTGGTAGAATTATGACATTATTTTGATGTGCAGACGACGGAAAATGAACCAAAAAGAATCCTTTGCGAAATAACACACATTCCTTAGCGCCAAAAATGCGCACGGAAGGGAACGTTCTGGCTCTTTCTGGCACTTTTAAGCTTTTTAGGCTCTTTGGGCGCTTTTGGTCTTTTAATGCTTTTTTCGGCACTTTTGGGCTTTTCTCAGCGAAGTATGACGGGTTCCTAAATGTCGAAGTTATAGCAGTTTCCATTTCTTTGTTTTTTATGTTCTATTTTCTTAGTACGTCCCTTGTGCCGTAGTTCTTTTACGTAAAGAGAGACACTAGCTTGAGAAGTGACTCGTTTGCGTTGCTTATTGGCGTGTTAGAAAGGCGACAGTCTCAGCTTTGGCTTTGTTTTTGTTAGATTGCAGAATTCAAATGGAGAGAACCAAACTTGTTTCAGATTTATACTGGATTACATAAATCATAATATCACTAGTTCCTACGGTAAGTTAAGGGCCGGGCATACTTCAGGCGATTTCAGTCGCGACGCGATTTGGCAGTATTCCAACTGTCCACAATTCACTGTAAGCCATTTCAAATGTACAGAAGCTAGGGCATTCTCTCAATCCACGTAAGTTATACGCATTACGCATGTGCTAGTTAGTTTGTTAGTGTTGAGTCTGAAGAATTCTGGCGAATCGCCGAATCGTGTCGCGACTGAAATCGCGTGAAATATGCCCAGCCCTTTGAGTTGCGAAGTGTGTTATATACAACCGATTGAGGTCCAGATGCAAGCTGCAGCTTCGGCAAGGCATTGAATTCAGCATTTCGCTGATTTGCTATCTCTAAAAGTGGCTTGGTCAATGCTGTTGCTTGATACACTGGTTTAAACCCACCTCAATTTTTCGCACTTTTCTTTTGTATACTCTATTATTTCTGCACTTCTTCTTTCTGTGTATGCCTGTCTTTCTTCCTTTCCTTTTGTAATGAAATCCTTCGCTTCATTCAATAAGATTTGATTCAACAATACGAAAATGCAGGAAGTGACGTTGAGAACTGTTTCGTTATTCTCCCAGAAAGTTACATATCCTAAATGTATTACTCATCTTTCTATCAAAAAACATCATATGTAAAGCTAATGAACCTGCAACAAAAGCTGGCTCCCACAGAATTTTGGTGTCGCATTTGCCTGTGTTCTGTAACAGAAGAGTCATGTTCGTCCCTTCAATATGCTGGTGGAACGCGTTTGTCTAAATGAGGACTACACGCCATCAAATTTTTGTGGGATTTCAGATAAATTCACTTTGATAATCTCCTTCACCATTACTGTAGATTTTTCGTATACGTTTCCTGACTGGTCTCGAACGAACTTTGAAAAAAGAAGCGGATCTTGAAGTTCGACTCTGAGCACTGAAATTTGCAGAACATTTTCATACGTATCTACTGTCCGTAGTGCGCCCTGCATTCTAGAAATGCATTGATATACTAAAATATTATGTTTTGTGCATACCATAGAGGGCAACAATTATCATGTCTCAAGACGAAGAATATTCCACAAGAAGTGGAATGTTTTTTTTTTCTCTTTGGGCTTTTCTGTTTTTTGATAACTCACCAAGATCAGCTCCACAAAGCCACCTTTTCAGTGCTTCTTCATCCTCTCCACAACAATTACATGCTTTCTTCATCCACACTGTGTTGTTCACAGTAGTAAAAGGTCTTCCTAAACGGACGATTCATTAGTGCTTGACTCTGTGGCGCCATGTTAACTCACTCTCAAGTCGTATCCTTTCTTCTTCTTCTATCTTCTCCTTTCTTTCTTTCATGATTTTAGTGCAGTTGATGATCTTCTTATCTTTCCTGTCATTTTTCCAAGTCATCAATGTGTGGTTGTCGCTATTCTTGAACGCGTAGTATTCGCAGCGCGCAACCGTAATACGTAATTTCGCAATATTTAGTACGCCTAAACGTCTTGTTTCAAGCTACACATGTTCGTAAAATCATTATAACTCGCCTTTAATGATATAGTTACCATAAATAGTTGGAAAATGCGGGTAACAATCCTTGCGGAAACGCAGCTGAACAAGGAAATATTGCTTCAAAAACTCCTCTTCCGTAATGTTTCGAATTTCCTGAAAGCAGGAATTTCCGTGAATTTCATCGTGTAGTGGTGTACTGACCTGGCCCAATTTGTAAACTGCTGTAATCCTTGCTGTTACGTTTGCGTAAACGCCTGCGCTGTCTTTGCCGATTTCCGAAAAATTGTTTGCCAACTTTATTTGTGCGACTAAATGGCAAAAACAATGTCATTGTTTGATACATTTGAGTTTGTGTCTCAAAAATAGGTGTGGGATTGGAGCGAAAGAGTTGGGAGTTTGGTGGCGCCGTTTTTGAAACACCGTAGGGCCTTCAATCAGCAGCTTTGTTTACTTGGCAACTCAACATCACAAAATCTGTAATAATAGTAGTTTTCTTTTGCAACTATTCAATTTGTCGACCTATCCCAGACCGGTCAAAACTTGAGTAATTTTATTTGATCAAAACCTGAATGATCTTACTCTTCAACTCTTACCTCTGCCGTTAGTGTTTATCAGAGAACCGCCAGGGTGTTGATGCAAATTTCATGATTTTCTCGCCTCATTGACACTAGTATAAAGCGAATTTGTTCAGTAAGGACTTGAAGGCAGGGGCTCGGCAAAGCTGCAGTTTTTCCCATTTTCGCCCCTTTCAAGGTGGATTTTTGGGATCATCGCATCGGATAACCCTAGGTAAGCAGGAAATTTTCAGGTTGAGGATTTACCGAGCCACTGCTTGTAAGAATTCCAAAAGCTCTGAAGTAACTTGCTGTCTAACCTAATATATTTGAGTACAATAAAGAGAGGCACATCCAACAAGAGAGGCATGTTCAGGAACTTTTCTCCCTGAACACGATGCTACACAAAAGCATGGCTTTTCAAACACTTATCATGGTAATATTTGTCAGATTCTAAATCCCTATCACTGGCTGCGCTAGGTGCGCGAGTAAATGAGCACGATAGATGCCAACATAACGGATAAAGCGCAAGTTATCAGACTGGACTTAGCAAACATAGCAGAAATCTCTACAGTTAAGAAGCTTTACCAGCTGATTTTATGAACGTTCAAAGTAACTCACTAATTGTTCTATTATTATAAATATGGCACCAAGCGATTTCGGGTGTCACGCCACATTTACAACTTGGACAATTCTTGCTTCTTTTTTCTTCTTCTTCCAAGACGTGAGAACAATTAGGCGGAGTCTTCTTCAATTCATCTGCTAACTTCTTGTTACTGGATTTCCTCCAATTTTCATAATCGCATGCATCAGCCGAAAGGACACCTTGTTTAAATTTGCCTAAATATATCACAGTTTAGCCCGCATATGGTCAAAGCTCAAATGTAGTATAGTTGTCCTCATCCCAATAGAATGCGCAGACAAATCTGAATTTGAAGCTAAGCGTGCTGTTGTCGTCCAATCGCGCAGACCCCGATTTTACTTGAAGTTTGCGCATGTGTTTTTTCATCGTTCCTTAATATCTTTCACATTGTAGCGATGTCCTCCCACTAGGATTTACGGTTTTGTTTTTTCTGTTCTTTGAACAGAGAATTGCACACTTTCCGGAAAGTGTTTTAGTTTCACTTCAAGAAAGAAATTTGCAAAAAGGTTCAGCTTCGAAATCGTGATAGAGTTCACTGAATCTCACATCTGACGTGATACTTCCCGGAAAAAAGGATCTTCCAGCAGAAATCTGCAGTTTCGTCGTTTTTCAGGCTTGCTTGAGATAACGATAAAGCAAACGAACATAGCAGATTGGAGCAACGGTCAATAACAGAATCGTAGATTCTGATAAAGAACATTAATGCATGATGAATGTTAGCAAGAAAGACTAAAACAAAAAAGGAACACTGTGCAAACTTCTAATAGGCGGACCCTGCTGCGCTTAATGCCAAGCCTACCAGGTTCTTCAAATATGTCCACTGGTTAAGTCTGCGCTACTACGTAGATCGCGAGGAAAGGCAGCAAGAATATATCATCCATTTTCTGATTAAGAGACGCGAGCACGCTTTATGTACCAGGACCCGGCACGCGTTGGTTTGGAGCCTTTTTGGAAACGAAGTCCCCTATGAATTCGCGAAATTTTACGAAGTCCCTCTTGACGTAAAAATCAGTAATCAATAAATCCTTATTTAATCAAAATAACAATAAAAAAGCGAAAAAAGTGCATTTTGAGGTATCCAATATAACCAAAAAGCAAAAAAAACCGAGTCGGGTTGATTAAAGGCCCTGCCATTGGGTATGGTACCGTTTTAGTGCTCATAATGTCGAAAACCTCCTAGTCCGGCCAAATCTGTGGCCTCAACAGTCTGACGATGCACTTCTTGCCACAAGTTTAAAGGACACCGCATGTGATTGGAGCGCGATATCTATCAATGCCTATACACTACTTTTGGCTCAAAAGAAAGAGGAGAGGCAACAATAGTTTGATTCTTCTTTTCACTACATGATACATTTTTGACTGTTCCAATCGTCCAAATCAAAAAGATCCGAAACTTGTGTGAAATCTCCGAGATTTATGCTCCGAACCAACCCAGTTGGTTTGGTGGTCGGTCTAGGAACCAACAAATTCGGGAACGGATATTAGGACATATAAGTTTTTGAAACTTTTTGCATAACATAGTTTGGAGTAATACTGTTTACACATAGCCCAAATTCGGAGCCATGTGATTGTTTGTGCGCTGTAAACAAGCCATTTGTTTGAGTCTCGCGTTTGAATTTCGCGCGCTTGTGGAAGAACTCGTTCAACTCGTAAAAATTGACATGTTTGTCGTTTTCTTTCGGCGCTTCCCGCGGATCTTATCAAAACGACATCCCCGTTGCCTTTAACCTCAAAAACGAAGTCCAGTTTGACCTCGAACCATCTGTGCCGGGCCCTGTTATGTACATTTCATTAACAAGTTCATGAATGGGTTTCCACGCGTTTTGGTTGACTTACCATTGGAATCTTGGAAGGAATGCTTGGGCTCGTTGATCCGTGCTAACTCAAGCACGTTTTTTCACGGACTTTTGATAGTAATCAACCCTAACGCATTAGAACTCATTCATGAACTTGTTGGTCAAACGTACACAAAGCCTGCTTGCTCTCTTAGTCAGAGAATGAATGATATGCATCCAATAGCTCAAACCTCATAGTTTGGGCAAGAGTGATTTGGGCTGGTTGGTCTATATGGGACAAACGAGATTTCGCTTGGTCATATTTTCATAATTTCGCGGTTATTTGAAGTGGGATTCTCTATATGAGCAAAGAAGGAGTAGTACTTTACGTATGAGCAAAATGAAGTAGCCAACTCACCCAAAAAAGTTAAGGTGCTCAAGAATGACTATTTCACTGGTTTGGCCTAATATCTATGAATCTTAGAATTCGCTAAACTCGGTTCAAGGGGTTATTTTGCGAGCTAATTACGAAAATAAGCTTTTATGCTGCTTTTGGGACTCCTTTATGATGCTTACACACGTGTACGATTCTAGGTCAAATCTCGATATGTTATACCAACCTTAGCTCTTCAATACGATCTCCAGGTGTGGCGTCACACCCCACGCTTGACCCTGTATATAACTCACCTGCAACCGAAAAGCCGGCTCGAGGTTTGGTATAAATCGATAAATCCGGTTTTGGACATTGCGGTGGAAAATGCACCTGAAGAGTTGTTGGCGACTTGTTTGTGGGATTGAAGGCTAACTGAAAGCAGAGATTTTTGCTACAGAATTGACCGTGTACTCTCGATTAACCTTGCCCATGATATCTCTATGAACACGTGTTTGGACTTCGATGTATGGGTCTTTGCCTTTAACATGCTTTTCGTTGATTATCTTGATTGATTCGAAATCCACCTCTGCGACTGAAAATAAAACCGGTGTCATCGCTTGGGTTATTTCATTGAGTGTACCAAAAATATCACATATGGTGAACCATTACAAAGTCGAGTCAAGCGAGCATTGATAATTTATATAGCGTAAATATAAGCTGATTTTTCGAACACTAGTAAAAACTTACTGATTCCAGTTTTATTTATATTAACTTTGCACCAGGAAACCTCCGGCTCCCACGTGCTACAATTACAATCTGGTACTTCGGCTTTGACCGCTGCAATGCAGGTGGCCGCGAAAAGCAGAATCTTCATCTGGAATTCATATCAGGTTATTTTAAAGCTTCTCCAATTCTCCTTTAAAATTTTTCGCCAGCGCATTGTGAGACATTTGACTTTAACTCAAATGCTAGTCTGTAGTGCATAGGAGACCAATCGGTCAACATCCATAGTTTCACTTACTGAAAGCAATGCTAATTTGATGCTAATCTTTGTAATTTTTACAAAAACCGTCAGCACATAACAAAATCAAGTCCAGAGTCAGGGTTCCACGCCGTATACAAGATCTTACATCTTAGCAAATTATTTTATCATACTTGCGGGTTGCTGGAGAGTCCCCTTATAACAATGAAAATAATCATTCTTCGAAGTTTGAAATCTCCAAGACTGCATGTCAGTAAAACTGTTTCTTAGTTGTTGAACTTAGGGCAGTGATGCTGTTTGTCAGAAGAAAAAAACCACTTCTGATGTATTACTTTCCAAATAGGATCTGATAGACAAGTTTTTGTAAGACAAGATAAGATTTTCACAGATTTTTGCTTGAGACTTTACCTGTAATTTGTAATATCAGGTACAGTCCGCAGCATGTGCATGAAAACAAATAAATAAAGTATGTTTCTGCCGCAAAAGGTAATAAGTACATATGAATTAGATTTACTGTTACACCTGATTTTAGAAACATTGCGCTACGCATATACGAGCAATGTAGAAGCGATCAAGATTTTCGTGAGTCTACCTAGAGGGAATCAAGCCCCTTTGCCTTGATTTGTCACTCAAAGGCAAGCAATGAAGGTATAAAACGCTAAGTTGTGGCTTCTAATTCCGCTGTGCAAAAAATACTATATTTGAAGTGGCTTCCGAGAAAATTGAGCATTGCTTCAATGGCTGATAATTGAAATATTCTATTTCTTGGACGGTGGTCAGAAATAAGCAGGGTCAAGCAAGCAGATGGCATAAGCCCAAAATCTTTTTTGGCACCCTCAGTGATGAGAATAAATGGAAGAGAATCATTTCCTTTAAGCACCCTCACATTCATGGTTTACAATGAAAACGGAAGCGGGTTTCATAGTGGTAAAACAGCATACCCATATCATACCTATCGTAAACGAGACCCAGCAAAATTTGTTGCATATCACACAATTGAGTGTGTGTTCAAAATCATAAGCTCTGCTCTGCTATCACATTGATCGTTTCTGCCTTGAGGATGACACAATGACCGACTTAGATGAAGTAAAAACGTCAGTGTGTTACAACGATTGCTTAGCGCATTTTAGAAGACATTCAAAGCTATATAGGGGGAATAGGTTGCATCTTAAGTGCTATAAAACTTTAGCGATCAAGCTGCAACTTATTGCTAATTTGTGAAGAAAATCGGCGGCGGCCGCCGAAGTTAAATTGATCTGCATCACCATATCTCCATTCACAGTGAAAGAATTCTGAGTCCGAGAGTACCAATCGACTCAGCTCAGCGAGGCGCATCTTTTTATACATTTGGGGGCCACTGTTGGCATACAGTAGGTATACGGTAGATCGGTTTTCACATATTCCTTTTTTTAGATGGAATCCTCAATGTGCTGATAACACTCACGCCAAGTTGCTGCTGGCGGCATTTTGTATGATTACTTTAGGAGTACGATAGAAAGTCATTTTGCACGAATTTGCTCAAAAATCTGCTTGAGGTGGCTGTTTGGTTCGCTGATTGCATAATCATGCGCGAGTCGTTTTTAATTTGATTTGTGAGCCCGCGACAGCGCGCGACAAGCAACGACCCTTACTGGTGACGCCAATAAGATTTGTATAGTGCAACAAACTGTGGAAATATCACTTCTGACATATAAACCAAAAGAGGGTGTGGAAAATTGGGCGTAATCCCAGGAATGATAGCTTGCTGTTGATGCTGTTGTTGACTTTTTTTGAAATGAAATGTTCGTGAACCTTGCAGATCCATAAAATTCACCAATCATTCTCTCAGTTTTGGAGAAGAGTATCTATTATAGATAGTTTTCTGCTCTTGATAGAAATTTCTGTGTACAATACGCGCTGCGCTATACCATCTTGAGACACGTCCACAAAATTATTATGCTTACTATGTACAGCTCTATTTCACACTGACCTACTAAAAAATGACATCATAAAAAATCCAACTACTTCTCTTTGGGCGAGCATTGTGACATCAGGGGCAAATATTAGGTTGTCCCGAAAGTTTTGTCCGTTTTTTCAACCTGTCATAAAAATAAGTGTAACAAAGATAGGGAAAAGCTCTAAGAACTATCCGACGCACCTTTTCCTCCTCTTTCTAATTGTCATAATGTCGTACAGATTACTCTTTTGCTCACTGAGATAAACGCCGAAATTACGAACCCATGGTTTTTACTATGTCCAAGTTTGGCAATTTTTCGCAATCTTCATTTTCAACTTTTGGAAGAACTTTGATAGCCCTCAGATAGAGTAAGCAAAGAGCAATGCAATGCAATTATTTGACATATCTAGCTGGCTTTTCAATATTTTTGAAGATAATTTTTTCAAAAGTCTTCACTTTTGCGAAGTTCTAAAATACAGAAACGCCTCGAACATTGACAAATCATCGGATTTTGAAGCTTTCAAAAACCGATTACGATTATTCACTATTTTTACGAAGCAAATGAGCGTTTACCGCTTCGAAATATAAGATTTTGCATTTTACGTGTGCACGCTGGGGTGGGGTCAAATTCAAGAATTACGAAAATTTCATCGCCAAAAACCCCGCAAATTGGAGAGAAAATACACTCACTGGAAAGAGGAGGAAAAGCTGCATCGAATAACACCTTGGTTGTGCGCCGTTTCATGATTGGCTTTTGGCATCACCAAAAGTGGTATTTGATAGCATCAGAAAAATAATTCTAAAAAATTTTCAAGGTTGCCTATAGATGCCGCAAAATTGCATTATATTGCCCTTTGTTTGCTCTGTCTAACTGTTGCCAAAGCTTTTTCGAAAGTCAAAAATAAAGATTGTGAAAAATTGCCAAAAGTGGACATAGTAAAAACCATGGGTTCGAAATTTCGGCGTTTATCTCAGTGAACAAAAGATTAATCGGCATGGGAGCCTGAAAGTTGGAAAGAGGAGGAAAAGATGCGTCGGATAGTGCTTGAGTCGTTTCCCTATCTTCGTTCCACTTGTTTTTATGATAGGTTGAAAAAACGGACAAAACTTTCGGGACAACCTAATACATGCATCGTCGAGTCTTTGTAACTCATATGCGTAGCAGGCGAGTTAATTCGCGACATTTGAGATCGGAATCTATCATTCCTGGGATTACGCACAGTTTTCTACACTCTCTTTTGGTTTATCTGTTAGAAGTGATATTTCCGCGGTTTGTTCCACTACAAAAATCTTGTTAGCGTCACCAGTAAGGGTCGTTGCATGCGCGCGCTCGCAAACTCACAAATCAAATTAAAAACGACTGGCTCATGATTATGCAATCAGCCCATCAAATAGCCACGTCCAGCAGATTTTTGAGCATATTTGTGGAAAATGACTTTCTATCGTACTTTTGAAGTAATAATACAAGGTGCCGCCAGCAGCAACTTAACGTGAGTGTTATAAGCATTCCGTCTAAACAAAAATGAGTATTCCGTCTAAACAAAAATTTATAGGAATTAGTGAAAAAAGATCTACTGTTTACCTACCGCATGCCAACAGTGGCGGTATGAATAGGAAGATGCGCCTCGCCGAGCTGCGTCGATTACCCACTGGTTTGAAGCTCTTTCATTTTGAACCGGGATATGTTGATACAGGTAAATTTGACTTGGTGTCGGCAGTCAGCGGCGGTTACCTAACTTCGGTGGTCGCACCTAACTTCGGCGGTCGCCGCCGATTTTCATCACAGATTACGAGCGGTATTGTACAATGAAAGACGTAGTGTAAGCCATTTGGTTGCCACGAGGAAAAATCAGAAACGCTTTCAGTGATTACATGCAAGTGAAAAGTATGGAAAAGGACTGCGGCACTGCTAGGTATCTCCGTTTTTTATAGCGAAAAGCCTGGTCATGATGCATTCATCTACACTTACTGCATATAACAATCACGGTCAAATGGAAAGGTTAAACCACATATTACATTCTATGGAAATCATGTGGTGTGCGGCAAAACGCTGATGTCATGATGCATTCATACTACACTTAGTACATATGACAGTCACGGTCAAATGGAAATGTTAATCCATATATACCCTCTATGGAAATCGTACGGTATGCGTAGCACAAGATGCTCTTCGCAGTCGTCTCGTGTTAAACGATGTTCGACGAACTGCATTCCTATGAGGAGGTGGTGGAATTAGGTATCCCGCCAAGTATGACCATCTCGACTTTGGCTCTCTAGCTTTCCTGTTACCTACGCACTTGGAGTCGTTGAGTTGAAGAGTTGCTTATCGAGTAGAAGTTGATCAAACATAATTTTGTTTAGCATAAACATATTCACAAAAACTTTTCTTGTTGTTTTTTATCCATTATTCTGAAGGAGATGTACCTCTACTAAACATATGTAACAGAAACTCAGAACTTTTTATTTTCAGTAAAGGACGGTTATGCCCGAACATGGCTAGATCTCCAGAAGCTTAGTTATTTGATTTCTAAGCTTCGTTTCATGCTTTGAAGAAAGGACAGGTGAGCAATTTGGTAAGTGGATACACGGAAGCTCTGACATAAACACAAGCAGCCACACGCAAGGAAGGATACCAACTTAAGAAGGCGTAAGAATGAGTCGTATATCAATGGATGCGTTTTTGAACACTGATTCCGAATTTGCTTTTCTTTTTTTGCAATGCAGCTCTTCGAAAGAAGTCACGAGAGTGTGAATGTAGGCATAAAATTAGCAAAAAGCTCTACAAAAACACCTGATAGCAATCAATTCTGCGTCAAGCATATCGACTACAAGGGAGGAACATTAAAAGCTAGTGGAAATCGTATAGGTGTTTTTGTGGAGTTTTCCGCTAATTTTATGCCACTTGAGGCTTGACAAATTTAGAATTTCAAATCATAACTTCTTTTTGAGGATCCTA